GGGAAAGGGCTGATGATGATACCTTAAGTGTGAGATTTGAAGGCCAGGGTATATGGGGGCCTCCCCGGTCAGCCAGATGATCAGAAAGAGGCATGCCCACTTGGCAGCCGGGATGGCTGCCAAATGGGGCAGAGACAGGATGACAAATGCTTGGCACACCTTATTTTTATTGGGTGGTGTGACCCGGTTGCACGTTGGATCGGTGGATCTGCCGTTGGATGAGTAGATGAAGCAGGGGGGGTCAATCGAGGTCGTTCGGCCAGATTTGAAGGCCTGCACATATGGGGGCAGCCTCTATCAGCCCGATGATCACAAGGGGCTTGCCCACCTGGAAAGATCCGCCCAGGTGTAGGCAGCTGGGGAGATGGAAGAGGGCCCAGTGAGTTGTTTGCGCCCTGGGGGGGGGGGGGGGGCTAATGGCTCTGGAGAAGCAGGCAACCAGCTAATGGTCAGCTTCTCCCTCCCAAAGGGTGGTTACTGCCCACTGGGCAGCCATTTGGCTGCCCAGTGGGCAGTGGACAACAGAAGCTTACGTGTGTCAATCGGACGCTGCCGGCGCCTCAGGAGGAAGAGGTGGGCCGAAGCTTCGTTCGATCGGTCGGCGCGGTCCCTGATGGGGCTGGTGGGAAAGGGTCAAATAAACGGCGGGGGGCCTAAAAAACGGTCGGTCGACCGAGTTGAAGCCCTTGTTCTGTTGGGGCAGCCTCGGTCAGCCAGATGATCGCGAGGGGCATGCCCACTTGGCAGCCAGATGGCTGCCAAGTGGGCAGTGAGATGAAGTTAAAAAAATTGGCACACCAGTTATTAGTGGCTGGTGTGCGCTGTTGCTTGTTTGATCGGCCGAACGGCCGTTCGTTGATGAAAAGAAGGGGGGGGGGGCTTGGGCGTCGATCGCTCGGCCCGGGGCTGTTGACGCTGGAGGATGCAAAGGGAGGCAGCCGGAGGTTAGCTGCCATCAGGAAGGCCAGTGATAGGCCCACTGGGCAGCCAAATGGCTGCCCAGTGGGCAGAGAAAAAGATGGACGTTACCTTTACTATCGGCCTGAGTGGCCGGTGGCTGAGGAGGAAGGGTGGTGGCCGATGCGATATATGATCGCTCGGCGAGGTCGCAGGCTGGGGGGCTGTAGGACGAGGCGGATAGGTGCAGCTCGTCAGCACCACTAACTTCAGGCAGATGAAGATGCCCACTGGGCAGCCAAATGGCTGCCCAGTGGGCAGAGAAAAAGATGTACGTTACCGTTACGATTGGCCTGGGTGGCCGGCGGCTGAGGAGGAAGAGGGGGGGGCCGATGCGATATATGATCGCTCGGCGAGGTCGCAGGCTTGGGGGCTGTAGGACGAGGTGGATAGGTGCAGCTCGTCAGCACCACTCTGGTCAGGTGGATGAAGAGGCCCACTGGGCAGCCAAATGGCTGCCCAGTGGGCAGAGATGAGGAGATAACGTACATGTCAGGCTGTGCTCGTGCCTGCGGCTGATGAGGACGCGGAGGGGCTAGGGAGTCGATCGATTCGTTCGATCGGAGGGCGATATCGCTGTGGGGGCTGGAGGAAGAAGGCAGCAGGTCTGTCAGCACCACTCATCAAGGCGATGAGGACAGACAGCCCACTGGGCAGCCAAATGGCTGCCCAGTGGGCAGAGATGATGAGATAACGTACATGTCACGGTGTCCTCGTGCCTGCGGCTGATGAGGAAGCGGAGGGGCTAGGGAGTCGATTGATTTGTTCGATCGGAGGGCGATATCGCTGTGGGGGCTGGAGGAAGAAGGGAGGATGTTCGTCAGGACCACTCATCAAGGTGATGAGGACAGACAGCCCACTGGGCAGCCAAATGGCTGCCCAGTGAGTGGGCAGAGAACAACATGCGTGCACATTACCTGTTAGCTCGGCCGGTGGCGACGGCTGAGGAGGAAGAAGGGGGAGGAGCGATGATCGATCGCTCGGAGATGGCTCTGATGGGGCTGGAGGACGAGGGGGGCAGCAGGTCAGCACGGCTCATCAAAGACCGCCCACTGGGCAGCGGCAGAGAACAACATGAACTTACCGTTTGATTACAAGCTCGCTTATTTAGACCGAACCCATTTACGTCGAGTTAGTGAAAAGATGACTCAGTAATAGGCGGGACAAGTCGGTTGTGACCGATTGTGATAATCAGATTATCTATATGTGTTCTTCCCAAAGCGAATGAAGGCACAAATGCAAGAAGTCGATCCAGACTAAATTTTATTGCAGAGCGCTCCTCAACTGATGGTTTCTAAACAGAAGCAGAAGGACGGTGTTAGCTGTCACCACATTGCTTGTGGGGTAAGTGTCTCGGCTATTTGCGCAACTCACATTAGACGCTGTTTGGGACGAGAAAGACGAACCAAGACTTGCCGGATAATTATTCAGGTTATCAATTTGGTGCTCTCTTTCCTCCACTTCTCAATACTGCAAATGAGGAGTGTCAAAGTCAAGCTATTAGCAACTGTGTGATTGTATTGGAAATGTGATGATGTACCACGAGGATCGGCAGCAGATGTTGATAGACAAAAGTTGCTCACTAACTTATGAAGGTGAAAGCAATGGGGGGGGGGGCGACTCGCCTAATAGATACAAACGAATGAGCGAGTAGAAGTCTCCGTTGGGGCCAGGTGTGGATAGTGTAAGGATAGCCCGAGTATAAGAATTGTGAAAAAGAAGAGCTAGAGCTAGGTTTTTCTTTGTCGCAAGCAAATTGGCCTGGAACCCCAGCAGCATAAGAGGGTGGGATCACGCTATCGAGCTGGTCAAGATTAGACAAGATGAGGCAGGGTGTAGGTGGTCAGCAGCACTCATCAACATGGCTGCCCGGTGGGTGATGAACAAGAAGAACGATACCTGCCTGATTTGATCGGCCGGGTGGCCGGCGGCTCGGAACGTTGAGGTTGGGCTGGGGTGGCGTTCAATCGCTCGGCCGGGGGGTTGTAGGAGCTAGAGAAAGAGGGGGCAAGGTGGTCAGCCATGCTCATCAACAAGCATGAAGAACATTACCTGAAATGATCTGGGGCAGCTGGGAGATGAGGTGGGGTCGCGCCCGGGGTGGTGCAGCTAGAGCAGAAGGGGGAAGGTGGAGGTCAGCCAAGTCACCATTGCCTCTGATAGGCCCACTGGCTACCAAGTGGGTAGTAATCGTGAAGAGGAAAAAAGGTGGTACCCACCTGATTTGATGTCGATGGGCCAGAGGGCTGATGGATGAGGAGCAGAATGGGTGGCACACACCTATTTACCTTGAAAAAACTGGATGGTTGGTTGAACGTGCGAAGGCCTTGGTTGGTGGGCCTTTTATGTTTACTGATCTGTTCCAATGAAAGCAACTAATTTCAATAACAGTGAACGAGGGATTTGAAATATTGGATGAATGGATTTGAAATAAAGGATGGATGGGCCAAGTTTGCATGTTGTCAGCACAAGCTTCGATAATCAGCCATCAACCGGTTTCATAGAGCACAAACAGTTGATTGGTCAACAACCAACCGTGGAGTTACCTCCTTGTGGATGTGCAGTTATTGATGTTGTAAACAAGTGAGCAAATGGATTCCTCAGGCCTATTGAGCTCACCAAAGGGTGTTTGATTGCAAGGCAGCAGAGACCTGACACTGTTCTTCAAGCAACCCTCAAACGAGTGAGTAAATCAGGCCTCTGAATAGAACAAACTGTTAATCAATCACACCAAAGGTACAGGTGCAAATGTTAACTGAGACAGTTATAATTGATGTGTTTAAGAAGTGTTTAACAGCCTTGTCTCTGTTATTTCAACATTCACTGATTACAGATGGAATTGATTGGAAGGTGGAAACAAATCAGAAAGGAAAGAGCCGCACAAGAGATATGATAATAGACGCAGGAAATGATTCACATGTTCAGAGAAAAAAACATTATAGAGAAAACTGAGAAGGGATTTTAATTTTCATTCTCGGAATAATCCTCTGAGGTGTTACTTGTATCAGTATCAGGACCAAACACTTCTTGGATAAATGGCAGCATGTGGCGAAAAACAAGCCACACATTTCCAAGATTAATATTAGAAAAATCAAAACCAAGCTGGTCCATAACTTGCAAAGCAACTTCATTAAACTTGGGTGGTGTATGTTGAAATAATTCTTCCTTGTTGGGGTATTGTTGTTCTGAGAGCAAGTCAAGATCATGGCTTGGTACCGAAAGTAGTTGATCAGTAGTAGTAAAGTATTCTGGATTGCTGTAAGAGAATTCCGGGCTGACACCAGTTGGAAGAGTAGTGAGTCTATCGAATCGTTTTCGGTAATGATTGTATGAGTCCACCCAAATATCGACACTCTTTTGGAACACTGGTATCCACAGGAATAAAAAAAGCAGCCTACCAGAAATAGATCAGATTCTTGTTTTATTGTGTTGTGTAGAAATGAACAAGGAACTTACTTTTGAACACCATCCTCTTGGTCATAACGGCCACTATCAATTTCATTCATGATGTCGTCTTTGATTGATCGATTATGTTGCTTCATCATTTGGGACCAGAGTGATTCGATTTTTTGATTGTGAGTTGATTTGGTGAAGTGCATGCGATCCACTGCTTGCTTGGTGGTAATGCCAGCGTAAGCATGAGACAGGCGCATTTGGAGCTTAGCCATGTCAATCGTTTCGGTTCCATAGTCACTGGTTAACTTGAGAGGTAATCCACCAGCCTTCGATGCAAGATGAAGAAAGTAGCAAGCGATATGGCGGGGGTCGTTGTTGGTAACATGAACAAACATGCCTAAGATCTTTCGAGACCAAGCATCAATGAATCCATAGATTGTGATGCCAAATGGCTTCAACTTATCATGCCCATCACAAGCCCAAATGTGATTGGGGCCAAGAGTCCGATAGATACGTCTTTTACAAGCTTGACGGAGTCGCAAGGCCATTCCATCCGGATCGATTTGTTTAAGGGCATAATAAACAATTTGTCTAGGTCCAAACAAAAACACATGTCAATAATGAATTCATAGAAAGGGTTAATAATGAAATGAAGATACAATTACTAACCGGGGAACTCTGATATTATAATGCCTCATGAGTATCATTCTCATCCTACGATATCCAGCATTGTTTTGGAGAAGATTTTCTCGTGCATCGGTTATTGCTTCAAGGACTCGATCGATGGTGACTTTGCCGTCCAAAAGATCATTTTGGAGTAATTTGACACCAAGCTTCTTCATGTAGCGTTGGACAGTACGAACAGATACTTCGACACCGGTCTCCTTGTATAAACGCACTTGCATCTCTTTCAGATTCATTCCTTTGGACTGCGATGATAAAATTGAGCCTCGTACTTCAGGTGATAGTGGTGCAGGAATAGGGGCTGGAGAAAGATCACACCTCCGGAGTGACCATTCATTTCGCTTACGAGATAACGTTCAAGGTGAAATTTTGATTCCATGATCTTGAGAGAGGATGCGTATGATTTCTGGCCCTTTGTGACCTTTTCGAAAGAGAGGCTCGACTAGATTCTTGATGCGTTGATCTCTAGGAGAAAGATCAAGTATTGTATTTTCAACTTCGGAGTATTCTGAATCGGCATCACCTGGTGATGAGAAGTGTTCATCATCGGACCCAGAATAATCAGAATGATCTGTGGTGTATACACCATCTGGGTCTGATGCTAAATCATCGATATCGTTCAAAGAGGTTTGTGGCTCATGGTTAGAAGTTTCAGGAATTGTTGTAGAGTGGTGGTTGATGTTGTTCATGGTTAATGTTTCTAGAATGCGATGTTTTTGGGATGTGATAGAGGCAAAGTGCTTTGGTATATTTTTTGAAAGGCAGGCAAGATTGGTTGTGAGATTTCCGGTGAGATTGGTTGTGAGTTGATGGTGGATGTTTGAGGTAAGTCACAAACACAGGAGATGGATTGCGATCTAAGCCATTCACATGAGTATGTTGCTTCACATCTCACTTGGGAATGGGCATCGTAGTTGGTATCAGGCTTACATGTAGAAATTTACATTGAAACTATGACAAAAATAGCTATTGTAATATGTACATGTTGTAACGTTAGAATCTTGTTGTTTTGATGGTATTGGTATGAATGATTGATGTTGATTGATGAGGGGTGAAACGGTGTGATGGTTGGTCCACTGGCATACCTGTCCAACATCGAGTGGACTATGTGGGTCATTGGAGTGTGTACATGCTATGGGGACAGCTCGAGGTATGAAAAAAAAACACCCTTGGATGGGTGGTTTTTTGCGGTTGGGTGTTAATTCAGAATATGTTGGAGGCTAAATTTTTTTTTATTGCATTTTTGATTTGTGTGTGAGACATCATGAACAATTTTTTTTTCAAATATGTACAAGTGCGATTTTGACTTTTGACATTTTCAAAAAAAAAAATGGAATGGCGCGATGGCGCGATGGCGCGGTTGGTGTCGTCTGTGGGCTTCCGTAGGTGGCAGTGAAGCTAAGGAGTTTCTGATGAGAGTAAAATTTAACAATGCAAGCGAAGGAATAGTCGAAGTTATCCTCCAGGCTCTGTACACAACAAGTGGCTGATCACTGAACTGTGTTGCCGACCGGTGGGTTTGGTTCGATAGGACAGGTAACAGAGCTAAATAGTTGACGACGGTGTTCGGTTATGGATATCTGATTACTGTTGAGCGTGCTTGTCTGCTTGTTGTACCAAGCAAGGATCATCTCAGGAAGTCGAAACCCCTGGAAATATCAAGAGCATTTTCCCATCTGTGACGCCAAAGAGACTCGCATACTACCTTTGTAACTGACTCTATCATTTTGTTTTGAGCCTTGATAGGTTGGACTAGCTATGGGCCTGGAAGCTATGACAAGTGGCATGATGGCACCGATAAGGATGCGGAATACATCATTCCCAGGAATGGTAAGCCTTGTTTCAGCTTATATCGGGATAAGTCTAACACCTGGGTACATATAAGAAGAGCATTGCTTATCCAGCTTTTTCAGAGGCGCCCTAGTCTTTTCCAAAATATTGAAACAACCGATCCCTTTCTCAGGTGGTAAGCACATGGTGACCTCAAGATCCACCCTTCTGCGCTTTGTGCCATAGAGCACAAACACTTGAAGCTCTCTCCAGCTTGTTTCCTTTGCGCGTAAATAGTGACCTAAATCCACATATTGTTCTAACTCACTGGTGTTTTTGATTTTATGCCCAGTCTGTCTTTTAAACTTGGTCGCGAATTTGCCTCCTCGACGACAGACCGTCGCTTATCAACAAGGAGTCGCCATAACCCTTATACATACTCGGTAAGTACAAAAGGTTTTGCACGGATACTTTTACTCTCTTACTCACTGGATAGTATGCTTCACATACTCCCTTAACGACAGATGCCTTGAGCTGATTGTTCCGATATACACACATATTTACATAGCTGGTCTTGACAAACACTGACGTGGTATCCAACATGCTCATTCGAAACACAACTTTGCTCTATCTGAGTTTAATCGCAAGCACGGGCATGGCAAACACGGGAAAAGAAGTGGTTGACGACTTGGGCGGCGAGCGAGCTGTAACAGATAAAGAATTAAGTCAAATGAAAGCTGACGCCTACAGGACTGCTTGTAATGCTAGGAAGTCAACAGACAGACATGGGTTTTATACCGAAAACGCTGCTACCAAAGTACACCATGATATGGCCATAAAATACCAGCAGATCTACGAAGAAGCTCTCGAGAAACAAAAAGCACAAAAGAAGTAACAATCGGAGTTACTTGGTCTTACTTTAGTCCAACTTCATTATATGTAGAAGCAAAATAAACACCCTAACTTATCCTCAAAAACCCTTGTCTTTGACAGGCCGAATTCTACCCACCCAGATTTCGGTACCCAAACTCGCTGCCAGTGTACGGAGTCGACATCAGCATTCTTCTGGCAATGGAGTCGTAAAACCCTGAGTAGCAGTATATAGTCCAGATTGGCCCTTCTTTTCTGTAAATAGCTTCTGTATACAGCTTATCTATTTCCCTGGGTATATGTATACTGTCAATTAGCTTGCCTGCGACATTCCTGAAGCAAAGCGTTTGTGGCTTACATCACCATTGTAATGCGCTCCTCATTACAATGATAGCAAAAAAAAAGTCAACAGGCCATTGATTGCTTGAATAAACAAAATAAAAAAAAATATAAATAAACAGGCAGATGTAAAACAAGAGAGTGACAAATGAATGCAAAAAAATGAGATCAGAACGTGCAAATTTTTTGGGGAGAAAAAAATAAGAGAAGTAAAACAACAAACAAGATGAGAAAAAGGAGGAAGAGGATTGAAGAGATTAACCGAGAATGATAGATTTAAGTTTATCAAGTACATCGTCTTCGACGTCGAGAGCGCGAACGACGTTATGGAGATAATCGAGATCGACGAGTAACTGAGCGAGGCCATCGGAGGAGAGTCTATTTTTAGGAGTTGATTTAAGATGAGAATGATTGAATTGGCTATTATTGAAGAGGAAAGTATTGGAGATAGCATGAGAGAATTGATTGACGACGGCAAGGGTTAACGAGGAGAGCCAGGTAGAGATGACCATTTCAGAGCTAAGATGATTCTCGAGTTTTTTCTCGCGTTCCTTAGAGGATGGTGTTCCCGATTGATCGTCGTTATCGTTTGGGACGGCGGATTGGTGGAAGGCTTGCCAGTTGGAGAGGACCTCGAAGAAGTCGACGAACGGGAGGGTCTCAAGTGAGAAGGCCAGAGCATCCTCGTCGACGGTCGTGTAAATCTCGAACAGTCGGGGCAGATTGAAGAGCCCTTCCCCAAGCTTCGAGATCGCCTCGGTCGGGCTCTTCGAGAATTGGTTCAGGATCTTCAGGTCAATCGTCGAGATTGAGCTGGTCTGCTTCTGGCGCTGTAACTCGGTTGTACTCTGCGTCCAAATCGTCTGGTGTGGATACTCTTCGACTTGCTTTAGCAGTGGCAATAAGATTATTGATTGAACGATTTGTTGGGACTCTTTGATCAGATTCGAGACCGATAAGTTGCTCTTGTGAAACAGAGACCGGGCTTGAGAAATCATTGGCTTCATGCCGTGATTCGAATGCCGTTTATTCTCTCCGGAGCTAAGTGAAAAGCTCTTATCTTTACGAGGGCCAAGTGGATTAGGGGTGTTGGAACCTCGTTCTGAGGATTGCAAGGTCTCGTAAAATTCCCACAGTTCACTACTGTTCAGTAACGATTGTTCTAAGATCACTTTCGCGCCCTTGCTGAGCTTGATTTTCACGGGTTCGAGATCTTCATTGACAGCTATGCTCTCATCGGAACTCTTACTACGCAGTGACGCGAGAATTTCAATCAACCGTTTGTGGGTTTTCTTCTCGTATTCGGAAAGCTTATCGTGGATGGTCTTACACGTCGCCAGGAGTTTGAGACCGAGTTGGAAAACTTCCCAATCTTCAGACGAATAATCAAGACCTTCGAGTTCGAGCATTTGACTTGCGGATTCATCCAGATAAGATGATGAAGTTGCTGGGCCTCTACTCTTACCGGAAGCGTTATTCCCATCAAGACGCGCGTTTTGTTCCTTCCGCTTTTGTCGATTTTCGCGTTCGGTTATCAGGGTCTGTCGGTTGGTGTCCAGATATTCACTGAGCATCAAATCCACCGCCTTGGCGTAGCCCAAAACGCCATAACCATGAGTGAAAGCTTCACAGCGATCCAATGCCTTATCTGCTAGAGTGAAGATCGATTCCAAGACTTGTGGTAGCTGTTGGATCATGGTGACTGTCAATTTCTGTCCAGTTGAAGTTGCGTCCATGGTTGGTTGGGCCGACAGACCAAGGATGATGTTTTTGAGGGATGCGCGCAGGAAGTTTAATTCTCGCTCGAAGTAATTGGATTGAAAATCGATGAAAGGCTCGTACAAGGAAGTCTCCCAATCTTTAATGATTTGGGGTGCGTGACTTGCCGTCGTAGACGAATCCTCATGGTGCAGCAAGTCCGTCCCACTTCTTGAGCCTATCGATCGAGAGGTTGGTCGCTTGAAGGATGTTCTTCGATCTGATTTGGAAGACACAGATCCCAATTGCAATATCGGACTGGTAGGGCTTGTCGAGTCAATGTTTCTTTTGAGCTTCAATTCGAGTTGAGAAATCAAACTCTCTAGCTTGTGACCGACATCCTCGGTAAGATTCCAACAGCTAACAAGACTAGGCCAAGATGCTAGTACGTGGGCACATTCGACGTTTTCGATCAGGCGAGTGGAGATAGAAGGTTTGAGGTTATCAAGAACTGATTTTAAAAATGCCGTCAAGGCCTCGATTGGGTTGGTGAAGATGGACGGTAGGAAATCCATTTCGGTTTGGAGAAGCCTGAGCAGTTCTGGATAGAATTGTTTTGCTAGAAACATCGGAAGTGATTTTGCACTCAATTTGATTTGAGTGTTTTGGATCGATGGTCCGACCGATCGAGTGGTCAAAATGGGAGGTTCGAGCATAGCTTGATTCCATAGTGATGAGATCGCACTCCGCCGGCTTCCAAAGTAATAATTCTTGAATTCCCCCTCCCTTTCGATCATTTTAAAGATTTCGTAGAATTCTTTACAGCGTCTGACATCCTTATCACTTAAAGCTTTGACCAGGTTGGTACTCAGACTAGCCTCTAATTCATTCTGAAGGCTTCGCATGAGACCTCGTCTGCCTTCATATTCAGGAGTGTGTTGAAAGACGACCATCGATTTGGCAGCCTCCGCTAATCTTTCAGCTGCTTTGAGGTGCGAAGGAATAGGATCGGTTAAATATCCGGTGACTTCTGATTCTAGGGTTGACCAAGCTTCTGCCTCTCTGAGAACCGTCCGAGCTGACTCCATCCTCTCCTTGATCAAATCTAGAGTACTCAGGTGCGATAAGAGTTTATCTGTATCATCGGATGATGCCTGATTTGTTGTCGAATCACTTGAAGGGATCAGGGCAGGCTGGATGCTTTCTGATTGAGATTCGTTTGAGGGTAGAGATTGGGTGTGGATGGATTTGAGAGAGTAGCGGAGTAGGAGTGCATTCTCTCTCATTAGCTGTAGGTCGAGGCTGAGTCGAGGGACACTCCGAACGATTTCCTCAATGGACTTATCGACCAAGGTGGATGTGTCGCTGATAGCCAGCTCGAGTACGGAGAGAACCTTCGATAGCTTGGTCTCGAGATGTGATAGCGAGAGTTGGCCGCGATCACTCAGATCATCCTGATTGACCAAGAGCTCGTTGAGCCATTCTATCTCGGTGTCGTATTCATCCAGATATTTTAAATCGTACCGGTTCTCGATCTTTGTGGCGGCTGAAGAATGACAGTCATTAAGAGTATCAAGTCAGTATCGTGTCGTTCTGGTCAAAATCGGAGATCTTAGGAGTTGGTTCACTTACGGGTGATGGTTTTCGATTCCATGATGGTGATGAAGAAAGGGATGGTACTCTTGGATGGTCAAGGGGCCTCAAACGGTCAACAGTGGTCAACAGCCGGCAACCGCCCTGAAGGGAACTCAAGACTGCATATCACCACAGCGGGGCCACCGGGGGCGGGATGGGCTCCGGTATTACGTAATCACACCTGATCGGCTCTCGACCATCAGCTGCTGCCCTGGGGACGCGTCTCGAAAAGAGCACAAACTGCCCCTCACTCACTAAACGTCCAACTCACTATGAGCTTTCACCAACAGCGTCAATCAACTCCTCCTCTCGTCTGGATGACACGAGCCAGGTGGTTTCACTCCGAAGGCGCTGGTGGTCTCTCTTTAGACAGCTTGGCTCACTCAAAGTCGGCGAATATCAATGTAAGACAATCTCTTCAAGAAGGGTCGGAGTGCCATAAATGTGATCACGTCACTTTACATTTCCGGTATCAGTTTCTCTTTGAAATCTGAGCGAAAATGTGATGGATGGTCTACAGTCGTTCCGTAATGGAATGGAATCGTCGAGTGTGGATTTCTCCCATTTCCCACTCGATGAGTCCCCCGTTCTGCCAAGCTTGTTTTGAGTTTGGCAGATACTCGCAACAGCGTTCTCCCGCTGCTGTTCCTCCAGCAATCGGGGGGACTGAGGGGGACTGTTTATCAAGTTCAAGACTGAAGCTGTACAGTCATCCCATGTACCTTCGACCTTAGGAACGATGCCTAGAAGATACATCAATCCTTACGCAAAGTACCTCGCGGTCGACCTCTGGAATCAACACATGGATATCGAGCAGATCAAGAGGACACTAAGAATCAACTTTTCGCGCAGTTCGTTACACCGATGGACTCACCTTCACAAAAGCACAGGGTGTGTTGTGAGGAACCCAGCCGACTACGAACCATTTGGACCGCGAGGCTCAATACCAGAAGATATACAAGAAGAATTGCGAGTATACCTCAGAGAACATCCAACAAGTTATTTGGATGAGATACAGGAATGGCTGTTGGAGGAGCACGATATTGCTACATGCATCTCCACCATAGATCAGACTCTGCGTAAAAAGATGAACATTACATTGAAAAAGAACCATCAGGTCAATTCCAAGCAATCAGACTTGAAGATGGCTGAGTATCTTGCTCAAGTGGGCACCATGCCAGCTGAGTTCATGGTTTTTGCAGGTGAGGTTGCTCTTTGTTCTCAATCTAGCAATGTTTGATATAATTGCTGAATCAAATGCAATCAGATGAATCTTCTATATGCCGTAGAAGCCTCAACCGACCTAAGGGACGTGCTCCTTCTGGACAACGAAGCTACCAGCAAACCAAACACTCAAATGCTAAGCGATACTCGGTACTTCCAGGCATCTCGCTCTATGGTGTTCTAGGAATTGATATCAAGGAAAATTCATTCAAACGTCCAGACTTTGAATCATTTTTGAAGCATACTCTGGTGAGAAAAAATTCACTACACAATCTTTTGACCAGAAGGAATAGGAGTTAATTCTTAATTTTTTAAAGTTACCAAGAATGAATCCCTTCCCCGGAATCAACTCAGTTTTGATTATTGATAACTGCTCTGTTCACCACGGTGGGAATGTCCAAAAGCTATGTGATGAACATGGTATGTTAAATTTAGTGAAATTGATCATTGTAATGTCTTCAAAGTTCTAACAACTGAACTCGACCAGGTGTAAGATTAATCTACCTTCCACCTTACTGGCCCGAACTTAACCCCATTGAAATGTGTTTTTCAGTTTTAAAGTCACATTTGCGCCGCTCAAATAGTTTATTGAATTCAGATGATGAGATCGCATCCATTTATCATGCTACTGCTACCATCATGGATGATAGATTGTGTTACAAAGAGTATAAAAGCAGTGGTTATCTTGTCTAAATATAATAGTTTCTTCTCATATAAATCAACTTGGCTACATTTTAGTTATTTTAATCATTCAGAGTCTTCAGGTTCAGATTGGCTGGTCTCATAATGATCTTCTTGGTGTGAACTGGATTGAGATTTAGCCTTCAGATGTTCAGTAAATCTTTTGACGTTATCGCGCAGACTTGCAACCAATCCACATGGAAAGTGGTATTCATTAATGAGCGAGTGGACGACCAAATCAGTTGCAAAGAGGTGGTAGTTGTTGATAAACTGCTCGCGACAGAATGTAGTGAGGTCTTCGTAGCAAGTATCCGGTTTGTATTCACAGAATTCGATGTACTCGCTGAGGGAAACATCTTTGCCTAGCCTGTAACATTCATCGAGATCCCCTTCAGATTCCGATGATTGGCCTCGTTGTTGATTGTGATGGTCGCAGGTGACCGGGGAAGGAGGATCATTGTTTTTCCTCTTTTTGAGTTTTCTATAAGTGAGAGTTGAGGGTGGGTGCTTAAGATCAACTCCAGCTTCTTTGTTGATCTGGATCCAAAGTCAGTAAGCTTTTAAGAGATAAAAATGAAGAAAACAAAATCAAACATGCCACTTACAATTGCCTCGGCCCAGATGGTCATTGTACTGCCTGTCAGGATGATCCCTTCATTTGGATTGATTGGGTTTCGGTAGATAGGAAAGCCTCGATGCAAATGCCCAGCCATCCGATGAGTATTATGGAGATTTCGAATAGTTGCTGCAAGGGCGAAATCATTCAATGGTGGCGAGGCTGATGGAGCTTGACTTGAACGTCGATCGTCAGATTGCGAATTTTGACCGGAGCCACCTCGGTTAGCCAAAGTGCCTTGTCTTTGAAGTTCTTGTTGAACAGCTGCTTGCTTATGGAGCCAAACATAAGCATTACTCAGCTTTCAGTTAGTTGGTTGTTTTTGTTAGAAACGATATATCTAGCTGGAAACAGAAACAACAAACATGATCTGCTGGAACCTCCGGTTCTGTCCCATCGTCTCCAGGTTTATTTTGTTTGATAATGATAGAGGCTCGTCCTCGTTTACTCCTCTCGATCTCGCGAGTCCATCGTTTAAAGGTTGCTGAATCCAAACGGATCTTCTTAGACCGATTAAACATCCCTTGGCGGCTGTTTGTCAACGTGATGATCCATTCAGTTCTAGATATATCGGAATTGGTATCAGCCAGGACCACATTTCCAAGATCAGGGCATCGCTTGTTCATCACGTTCACAAGCATATCTTGAAATGCTTCAAGAGTAGTCTCGCGAGTGTTGATTGTGACTGAACACGACTTTGGCTGCTTGAAATTGAGTGGTGCAAGTGGAATCAGTCCTTTTCGTCCTTTTTTGGGTGGCCTGCGGATGAAAACATCGAATTGAACAAAAATTTCGGTATCGCGACCACATCCTGCTGATTCAGAACAGATTCCGTCCTCCTCAAAACTCGGCGTGCTAAGAGGTGGGATGAGTGAATCGATTGGTTCTCCTTCGTCTTGAGTCATGATCAATGGGTGTGCTCTATAGCTCTTTCTGAACACCCCCCCCCCCTCCCTCCCCCCGATTGCTGGAGGAACAGCAGCGGGAGAACGCTGTTGCGAGTATCTGCCAAACTCAAAACAAGCTTGGCAGAACGGGGGACTCATCGAGTGGGAAATGGGAGAAATCCACACTCGACGATTCCATTCCATTACGGAACGACTGTATATATTTCCAGACTGGTATGAAAATCGAACAACTAGGGTTATTACAATTCACCATCTGTTGCCCCCGAATGGTTTTGATTCACAAACTCCAAGGTCTGGGTCAATCCTCACGGGTTAATGAGTTTCATGGTCCAAAACCAAGAAGGTCGGAGGACAAGATTGGTTGGGGATCCACACCGTCCGCCTGCTGACGGCTGGTGAGCGAAGGGGATTGTCAAGGCATCAAGAGACGGCCCTCCCTTTTATGACGCATAGGATCGTAAGTTCTAGGCTTTCCTTTCAATCGTGATGGGCTTCTCGATGGAGGTGTGCTCAGTACAACCGAACTACCCCGCTGCGGGTGCATCCTCTCTGATGGAACAATGGAGTTCCGTTCTATCCATTTCAAGGCTTTTTGTAATGAGGGTGGTTTGTTGACGGACGATACTGGTGAAGCTCACTGTTTTAAACTCGCTTTTAAAGCGCAGGTTGGCATCACTCCTCACTTTCTTAATTGTGATGTGCAAAGGCTGAATTGGGCAAGGTTCGCAGCAAGGCAACTACCCTCACAGGCAGAATGTTGGTTATGATGTGGAGCTCCAATCGTATCATTTCATGCAACGGACAATGTTCATCAAAGAGTCATGAGGGTAACAAAGACGGAAAGAAGCTGAGAAGATGAAAGAGAGAAAAGCAACCGCATGGTACAATGAATGCCAACAGGAGATATACAATGTGCTTGGTGTATCGCTTGCGGATTGAGGGGACGGGTCCATGTGTCAATGAGACAAATGCCGAGGGTCGGTGGGGAAACCTAGAAGGTAGTGACGGATCCTGAGTGGTGAGAGCTGCTTGAAGACGCGAAGCTAGCGGTGCTTCGGAATCCCACTTGGTTGAAAGCCGGGAGGAAGGTGTTGAAGTTCGGGATGACTTGGTTAACTGAAACCCCGCTCTGCTGGAACTGTCTGAGGTTGGAGGCGAACTGGGTGTCCAAGCCAACCAGGGCTGTTGTGGGATAAGACAAGGTTGTGAGTGAGCTTATTTGAGAAATCATGCAAGTATGTTGGGGGTGCTGTGACTGTGATGTGGTGGACTCACGAGCTGCGACTACAGAAGCTTGGGGTCCGTAGTGTGAGTTAATGGTTTGCACGAGGGACGCCATCTCTCGGTATGATTCGCTGGCAGACGAAGTGATCGATTGCTAAATAAAGACCCACCAACCAATCAATATTTTTGGCGTCCTTCACCTCGGGGCTCAGTTCTGGGCACTTACCACCTGACCATTACCAAAGCAGACTTGGCCACATCCTCCAATCGTTTGGAGAGATTGCCTGGTCGATTGAGAAATGCTTTCCATTCGGCTGCGGGCCTCGGAGTAGCTGAGTCCTCCCGCACCGATCTGAGTGCGGAGGGAGCGGAACTGCTCACTCATGTGGCGGTAAGAAGAGGTCGCAGTTGAGGTGGAGTACACGTCGCGGCCAACCAATTGTTCACTGGAGAGGTCAGGGAAGGGAGAGGAATCGCTGTCAGTTCAAGTTGAAGCCAACTACATACTGTTCCGCCAGTCAGGCACGTACTTCAGCGGGTGGGCTACAGCCGAGGCGATGGCTACATAGAGGGTCAGGGGATTTGTCAACTTCGCGTGTTCACGTCTCAGACGCTTTTGAAGACGGTGAGGCGTGCCGAGGTGGTGACTTACCAAGGGACATCGTGACAAGGAAGTTGAAGGCGACCATATTGACTGAGTTAAAGTGAACCTGGGGTTTGATTTATAGGTGGATAAGTTATTCTGTCGAGTCGACTGAGAAGACGATGTGGGTTGGATAGTTTGTCTGTGTTGTGGGAGTGGGCTGATGAGATGATGCCTGAAAAACGGGGGAGAACCAAGTCTTTTTATAGCTTGAGGGATGCACTTGGAAGAGCTCTTGCCGTGCGGTGCTGGAACTGACGGCATCTGACTCAGACTGACACAAAGCCCGGTGACTTCCATCTTCAATGTCAAATGGCATGGATGTCCCATGCTCCATTCCCGAAAACGCTGACCCTTCTTGGCACTTGCTGACACAATACGTCAGCTTTCACCGTGAGGAAATGGAACAAGCAAGAACAAGCAGTTATTGCGTATCGGAATTTGACATTTGTAGGTATTGAAGTCTGCAGGAGATGAAGGTACATAATCGTTCCACTGAGAGAGGTAATGGAGAACGCAGCCTGACACCGCCCGATTCGTGACTCTTACCCAACACACTGACAGGGCCGCCGGGCATCTGAACGAAAAAAGGTCCAAGACTCAAGTGTCAATTGGCAACAAATGTCCACTTGGCGGCCGTACATAGCGGTCCTGTCTTCAATTTCCATTAGAAAAGTTATACTATCCCTCAACAAGTCAAAATAGCAGTCTAATAACAGGCAGTGCTTGGCGGGGTGCTAGTGAGGGGCGCAGGAGAAGGTGAATCGTGATTGCTGACGGCCTGATCGGCGGCAGTGCCCGCCCGGTCTAGCAGCAATCAAAGCTCCATTGCCGCCGACCGATTCCTTTCGGCCTTGGGTGTGTTGAGTCATCAAAGCTATGTAGAAGTGCCACTCAAGACTGCCACCGCACTTGCGCAAAGATTATCCACTCGCCCTCCGCCAGCGATTCTGCTGGAGCGAGGCGGCGTGCAGGGAAGCATCAGAAACGCGTCGGCCTCACGAGCAGTGCCAAAACTTCCTTTGCGTTCTTCTTCCGTTCTCATTTTTACAATCGGCCTATGAGAAACTACAAGATTGCCCCAACCTACTGATCAGACTATTACTAAGCGCGACCTAAGTTACCCTAGGCTCTTGCACGTACACAGAGGATAAAATGATCTCTGTGGCTCCTTTTGTTGAAATATTACATTTCTGGCTATTTCAGCTGAGAGCTGTTTTGTAACCAGTTGACCTAAATCCTTCCAGCCGCAAAGAGCTGATCTCCACATTGGACCGATCAGTTCTTTAACGGTGTCTGGCTGATCAATTCTGCATCCGGGATGTGTCTGTCTGCGGGACCGACTTGCAACTTTCCCGGACGGTGACAACTTCAATTGATATGAAATTCTTTGCAAAAGCTTTGTCAAACAATTGAGAGACTGTTGTTAATCCCCTCTCCAATCAAGTAAAAACTGGAGGAAACAAAGGAGAAGAAAGAAAGGAGTGTCGCAAGTCACGACCGTGCTTTGGGGGTAGGGGGCGCCAAGGCGCGCATTTTCAGAGCCCTCCGATGCGATAATCATGAATTCTCTTTTCTATGAGTGGTCAACCTTGTCCTCTGCCAAAACACCGTGGGTGCCCGGTGCAATTGGGGCTTTTGGATCCAGCCATGAGATGGCATTGTCCCAGGGCCATGTCTGGTCCTAAAAAGACATCAAAATAGCCTGGTTGTGAGGCTGTTGTTATGGTGGATCTCTATTTTAAATGGATGTGGAACACATCTGTGACGTATTTTTGTGTGATGTCCCCAGGACATCCAAATGCACCTGTAGTGTAGCAGAGGTTCCATTAGCGGGGTTCACAATAGCTTCTCAAGTGAAGCTCTCTGGGTTGTTGAGAGAAGCTGCAGCACTGCTGCAGGCAAAAAATTTAGCGGGGGATTTTGAATTTTCACTGACAAAATTAACATCAGCAGTGCACAAGCATGAAATGAAATTAACAGGTGCAAGAAGCAAAGAACACTATTGTGAACCCCACTATTGGTTGTGCTGGCTGGGCTCAAGGAGGTAGATCATTTGGTTGCTTGTCTCCAGTTTCTTTCAAGGCCTCCTCAATGCAAGATGACTAGGCTTCTGTCAGCTCTCACTGTTGTTTGATGTTTTGGGTGTGAGTTGGCCAAGTAACTACTTTTAGGCCTCAGGTCTCTTACCACCTTGATCCTGGGAGGGCAAGGGGGGCACACTGGTGCCCTGGCAAGGTGGGTTTTAGTAAAAAAAAAGTGTGGGGGCCTAAAGGTTGACAGGCTGGAGTGGTTGGGGTGTAGTAGGAAGGATAGGATGGCCCTCTAGCCTACCTCAGAGCATCTGCATTGGTTGGCTATTTCCGCTTGAGCTGAGGAATTTAGCCACTGATGTCAAGCACACTGGGTGAAGCTAGCATTGATTTAACCTGGCTATCAGATAAATTTTCATACTTCAACTTCAAACCACACCATTGTGGCTGGCTGTGGCCAGGGCAATTCCTCCTGGCCACTGTAGTGAGATCAATCCAACACCACTGTAAAAAATAGATAAAAATATAATTCAATCAGAGAAATATTAATAAACAGGAAGAAAATTGTTTAAAAAGAATAAACACAGAGTATCTTATAGTCCAATACTTAGGAATAACACCAAAAAAATCAATAAAAGAAATAATAAATAAAGAATAATACAGGATATAATCAAGGAATAATGAAGGGTAGGACTCAAAAGTCACACAAAATAACTAAATTGGTCAAGAATGAATTAGAGATAATATAATGTTAAAAAGCTGAAAACCATTCAGGAGGAATTAGAATAATATCATATTAAATCAACAAGTCATTCAGCAGATCTTCAATAATTAATTTAGCAGATCATTCATTAATATAGCAGATCTTTAATAATTAATGTAGGCTGATAATTTATGAATTGCACAGCCACTTATTAATTGCTCAGACAATCCTTTCACAACATGAAAATCATTAATCACATAGATGACATCATTGACCAACATAGCAGTAGATTATTAAATACACAGCTGCACATCATTTAATTCACAGCTGCACATTATTAATTTCACAGCATGTCATCATTAATTCCATAGCATGGCATCATTAAATTAGCAGTATGAGGTCATTCCCCAGTCAGAGATCAATCATTCTGATCAGTGAAGCTCTTTACCTGCCCACCAGAGATTTTGTCTATAAATAGAGGCCCTTCTGGCCCATTTTTTCCTTCCTTCCTCCCCATGCTAGCTTCAGAATAGTAATGAGATATATTACTTAGCTTTCATCAACCCATATATCAGATACAGAATAGTAATAAGAGATATTCCTAAACCCTTTACTCCTCACCCTTATATTAAATCCTGATAAATAATAAAGATATTATTATTTAACACTCCTCAAACCCTCAACAGAAGATTTTGATGAAATAAAGACTCACTTTAATAAGAGCCCAGATAAACCAGAGATCCAGATATAGTCTTCACAAACCAGAGAATCCGGAAAGAATCATATAAACCAGAATAAACCAGAAACTCCTCAGATATCTCATAACACCAGAAGCTCTTGACCATCCCTCCACCCATAAAAAACATCTCAACATCCTCAACAGGTAGTATCTTCACTAAGATAAATTTTAGAAATCTACCACACTATTATTTTTGTTAGCATAAATCTCCCACAAGCTAGACAAGGAGGGCAGTCTCACCCACACCCATTTATTATTATTACGATTTTATAGTTTTATTAATATTTATCCCCTCCAAGCTCTTCACTCACTTGCTGAGCAGTTCCACACCACTGAGAGTACACTCTTGACAGCAGGGAGTGTACCTCTTGGCCATCAAGAGTGCACACCTTGACAATCAAGAGGAATCCTCTTGGCTGTCAAGGGTATACACTCTCAACAGCTGAGGGAAACCACCTTGGCTGTTGAGGTGTACAGTGCCTAGACAGTGAAAAGTGGCTGCATATTTTGGATTCCAGATCTCCAGAGCACAAATTTGAAATCATGAGACTTGGTCAGGTGGTGCATAATAGCTCCCAAAAAATGAATATGAAATAATAAAAGCAAAAAATAAAGTTTGAAAATTTGTGAAAAATAAAAAATAAACTCAATTTTTTTTCAAAAGCTTTAATATTGATTTTGAGGGAGTGGGAGTGCTGAGAGAAAGAAAGAATGGAACATGGGAAGAATGATTATAAATGAAAAAAATTGGAACCAAAAAAGGTTTGGCCAGGTTGGTGGTCCAGATTGGAGCCAAAACAGTAAATTCTAGTGCTTTGCTGCAATAGCGGGGTTCACGATAAGCTTTTTGCTTCCTGAACCTGGCTTGAATTTTTCCTGAATTGTGAAATCCTGAGCTTAATTTAAGCCTTGATTTAAGCTCAGAATCCCAACTCAGGAACCTCTAAGGCTTCCTGAGCTCAGGAAGCTTTAAGGGTTCCTGAGTGCAGATTAAGGCTTAAACTTCACAAAAACTTTCCTCGATCAGTTAAATATTAAGCTTAATTTTGTCTAAAAATTAAGCCAAGGTTTGAGGGCTCCCAAATACTGAGTAGCGTGATTTTCTTCCTGACAAAATCCTATCATGAACCCCGCTAATGTGGGCTAGTGAATGCCCCACTCAACAGCTGTTTGAAGCCATCTGAAAACCAGTTTTTCCAAAATTTTCATTCATAGTCATTCTTCTCATTTCCCAATATTTCTTTCTCTCAGCAATCCCACTCCCCCAAAATGAATATCAAAGCTTTTGAAAAAAAACAATTTTGTTTTTTATTTTTCACAAATTTTGAAACTTTATTTTTTGCTTTTATTATTTCATATTCATTTTTTGGGACCTATTATGCACCACCTGACCAAGTCTCATGATTTCAAATTTGTGCTCTGGAGTTCTGGAATCCAAAATATGCAGCCACTTTTCACTGTCTAGGCACTGTACACTCTTGCTGACCAAGTGGTAAACTCTTGGCTGTCAAGGTGTGCACTCACCAGCCAAGAGGTACATTTCCGGCTGCTGAGAGTACATGTGGGAGTGGCCAGGAGGATTCCTCCCGGCCACTGAGAGTACACTCTTGACAGCCAGTGTCAGCCGGTGTTGCTAAAGTGACAGTCGGTTGATGATGTGAGAAACACAAAGCCTGGGTTCTGACAGTGATTTGGTTA